TTAAAGACTTTAATAAGACATAAATAAATAACTATTATATGCCAGATGTTTTGTGAACAAGCTGCAATTTCAGGGATTGCAATCTTTACTTTTATTTTGTGGAGAAGGAAGAACTCATTCGACTCTTGTTTTTTATGACATTATATAATACCTGGATTTCTATATATAGTCTATACTTTGCATGCATATCTATTTTTTGTGATAGGTAAGATTTTTGGGTTTATTATTATTATTATTATTACATGGGAACCGCAACCGTTATTGTCGAACCTAATAGCTTGCAAAAAAGTTATGGTCAAACCTTTTCGGTTGAATTCTTTCGTTATTACTGTATATATAAATCTACTATAGTTGGTTTTAGATGTTGAATCTATAAATCCAAAAGTTTTTGAGCTGAATATTAAAGTTTTACTACTCATAAAGCTTTTTTAAAATTTCTTGTGTATTTTTTTTTTACTTTTTTGGGATAAAATGATTTGTTTATAACTGTAGAATCACTGAAAAGTATTTGAATATATTGTTTTATTTTCCTATGTTGTATAATAGATACCAAAACAAAACAGTTCTGAAAAATCATATTTTAGAGGTTGTGGAAAACAAAATTATTTTGGTGATCTTTTTTATACAAGATTTTATCATTCTAATACTTTTCGGTTATTTTTTGTGATAACTATTTTCCGTTTTGAGTATAGAAAAGTTGTACTCTTAAATTTTTGTCTGAATACTGTTCATGGTTAACCAAAAATTTTTAACTCTTAAACTTATGTGTTTGTTGGATTTGTATGTTACACATCTCCTGTAGTAACCTTTTAGTTTAATTGTGTGCTTGTCTTTATATTTATAAAATTGTCCGACAAGATCCTTTTGACTTTGAGTTCCCTCGACCCTGCATCATGAGTGTAGCAAAAATTTTATGGCGTCGTCAAACTTTTGTAGATCAAGTTGTGAGATATTTCTCACGCATAAAATTAGTTGTTTTTTAAAATAATTTTTTTTAATTATTCCAATTTTTTAAAAATGTATATATTGTAAACATCATAAAGTCCAATTCCCAATAATTCCATTGAAAATAACAAAAAAAAATTTCAAAAAGGAAGAAATATTCTTGAATATTTACATATTAATGTTTTTTAGGGTTTTTTTTTAAGTGAACTCACCCAGGATGAGAATAAATTTTCTTATCTATTATTGATAAATTTTCAAAAAAAAGAAGGATATTTATAATGAAGCAATATTGGATTCTTTTTTTTGAGATTTGTAAAGGCTGAAAATAATTAATAGAAAATCAAACTAATAAGAAAAAAAAATGTCGAGAACTCATAATACTTTTGAATTTTGTAATTCAATATTTTATAATATATGTGAAGATGGCATTAAGAGGCATAGAATCATTCTTTATACACCTCAACAAAATAGAGTGATAGAAAAAACTTTCTTGGAGAGTGCTATAAGTCTATTAGCTTCGTTCAATTTATCGATATAATTTATGGGAAGGCTATTGTAACAACAATCTAGTTAATTATAAGTTTTCCTCTATTTCATTAAATGGTGCATATCTTGAATCTGTATGGTCTCGTAAGAATGTCGATTTATTAAATTTGAGAATATTTTATTGTTCTACCTTTATATGTGTTCAAAATGTTATATTGGAACATTGAGCTGAAAAAGTAAGTTTCTAGATTACCACAATATCGTAAGACGTATAGGCTTTGGTTGAGTTCTAAATTTGGTTTTAAAACTATTATTAGTATAGATGTAACATTTAATGAAAAATAAGATATTATGCTTAAAAGTTATTGATCCATGTAATAATAATAAATAAGATGGAGTGAAACTATTTTTAAATTGTCAGTTAGAATATAATCTATTTTTAAATGACTCATTTGAATTTAAATAATTATCAGTTGATACTAGATAGAGAACTAGAAGAAATATTAAACAACTTTTTAGATTTTTGTTTAGTAAAATTGTTTGAAGGGATATTTTTTATGTGAAGTATAGAAAATTATGTAAATAATATAAAAAATAATTAGTGTGTGTAATATATTTATCTTTTTTATGTGAAGTATAAAAAATTATGTAAATAATATAAAAATAATTAGTGTGTGTAATATATTTATTTTTTATAAAAATAAATTTGATCGTGTTTATCTTTTATAAAAATCACCTTATGATTTAAAATAATTTCTTAGACAATGAAATATTAAATTTGATAATGTGTAAATCAAATGATTTCACTAAAATAAATTTGATCATTGTTTTTATTTTAAAATAGTATTTAAGCATCTTATGTTCTTACTAATCTATAACTATAATATGCTTTTAATGGGTTCAAACTCAAAAGCTATTGATCATGTTAAAAATAACTTAACTAAAAGATTTTATATGAAATGTCTTGGGAATACAAATGTGATTCTTGACATTAATTTTGATTATAAGAAAATTAGTGTTTTGTTTTTTTTACAAGATTGTATATATAAAAAAAAGTCTAAAGAAATATTTTTTTATACATCATGCTAAGTCCATAACTGTTCCTCTAGCCACTAATTTTATTTTTATTTAAAGAACAATATCCAAATCTAATAAAGATATTGAATATATGAGACATATGTTGTACCCCAGTGCACAAGATTGAATAATGTACAACATTATTGAACATTATTGATCTAAGCAGTTGTTAAGTAAATGTATCTAACTCTAAAATTGAACATTTCTACATTTAAGATTGTTGTTTAAGGGTATTGTCAGTGTTATTTTTGTTGGGACTAGGTCAATTCAACACTAGTATGATATTGTCCGCTTTGGATTGAGTCCGCACGAATTTGTTTTTGAATTTCCTCCAAAAAGCCTCTCGCGGTTTCTCTCCCTCTCTGTCTCTAACTCTCGATCTCACACCTCTTAATTCACCCCTAAACCCACTTTTTTATATTTATCAAAACTAAAACATACACAACCGATTATGCCTTATTGTTGTTCGCGGTGTAACTTGTCTGCGATGCGGGTTTAGGCTTAATTTCGGCAATGTTTCCTTAGATTGGGTTTCGGTTTAGCGTGTTTGTTGCGTTTCCGTGGCGTGTCATTTGTGGTTGGGTTTTGGATGTGTGTTTGATGTCGGTTGGTTTGATATTAGGGTAAACTGAGTCCGAACTGTTACTTCCGTAATAAATAGAAGTTTTCTTTAAGTTTTGTTCGATGTTGATTTGATTTCGAGAAAATATAGCTTATTGGATCTTGGATTAGTAATAACAGTTTTAGTGTTTAGTAAACATGCTAATAAAATTAAACTAAATAGATATGTAAGATTCAAATTGTGCAAATGATGCATTTGGAAAATTGACAATTTTGTATTCAACTTGTATGGTTCTTTCATAAGTTGAAAGTCTCAATTTTAAAAAGTGTTGCATTTTCTACTATTTCAATATAATTACGTAGTCATAATTGAAATGTTAAAAGAAACATTATATGGTTATAAGATCTTTTAATTGAAATCAGGTATTCGCATAAAGAAGTTAAATATTTTTTCGGAAAGCTAGTTGAGTATTTACCTATGTAAAAATCTATTTTTCATGATAGAACTAAAAAAAATTCAAATGTAAACATGCTGGCATGAGTACTAAAGTTGCGGCAAGAGTTGCTTGTAGCTATCAAGGCAGCGCTCAGCTGCGTCAGTGCCGCCGCTGACGCCACTGCGTCAGCCATCGAGGCAATTCCCGGTGCCCTCAGCGTTGCCACCCATGGGCCAGCCTCCACTCGCACCGGATTCTCAACCGTTAGGGGGGTTGACCCCCGTCAGGCAGCTTCGCCACCCCGCTCCTCTCAGAAGTCAAACTACCACGGGACGTTGAACTTCACCATGTTCGAGCATAACTCAACGCGCATCGCAATGGAAGGCACAGCGCTGCACTAATCTCGATGGCAACACTTTCACCATCCAATAGCCACTTGGTTTGAGTTTTCCCGAGGGATGAAGTTGTTATGGCGTTAGGTAAAGTCAAAGTCTATATTAGAAGAGAGAAAGAGAGAGAAGTATTCATACTCATCTATGATAATTATTAGTATTTTATTTACTATTTAATTTTTTATTACGAGTCTTAGGTATAGCGCATCTAGATCATATTATAGTAGGCGGTCATTATTTTATCTAGGTCATATTATAGTAGGCAGTCATTATTTTAATTTTGATTACAGAGCGAAATGATTTTTTTTTCATAAAATATCAAATCAAATATTAACTTTTTACTTTTTTTTCAAACTTGCAAATTTTCAAAAATCTCCAAAAACTTAGCACTTCTTGCAAAATTCCAAAAGTCTTGTAATTCTTTTTTAGGGCCAGTTTTATAAAAACATATTTGACTTAGGCCATTTTTATCAGAAGCCCAATATTTCACCTATAATAATCTGCACACAATGTTTCAAGTATATAAAGAGTACTTTGTCCGTCCTAATTCAAATACTTTTTTTATCTACTTCAAAAGCATTTTTTTTCTATTTTAGAAAAAATAATCATAATATCAAAATACGTTTAATTTTTACTTAAATTACAATATACAACTATACATACAATTACTTTATACATCAAGTCGAAGGACAAATATCAAAAATTCTTGCACACTTCAGTACTAATAAAATAATCTTATTTTTTAATCTACTACAAAATTCAAAAAAAAAAAAAAAAAACCCTTGATTTGGGACGAATGGAGTATGCATTAATTAAACATATTGTGCTGGGTAATTACATAAAGATACAGTCCACACAAATCATCATTGGTCAAGAATTCCCAACTCTTTTGTATAATGATCAACTTATCATAGCTTGCTTCTCTCATCCACTTAGGGTTTGATCTAATAATTCTACTTAATCAGGCAAAATCATCTCAAACTCCTCTCAAGGGCTCAAATCAAGTGAGATTACAAATCAGCATTGGATAATTAACGCAGTTCACCACCCAGATGAATGCCCCTACCACATACAAAAAATCATAAAAAACTTGGTAGGAAAATATGCCATGAATGTATACTATAGTAAAGGACAAATAACAAATGAGCAAATGTAGAATGATTCCATCAAGCCAAGAACACGCATAATTCTTCCATAAGCGCTACAAAATATATAATTCATAGACAGATAAATTGACATACCTATCAGTGTGCTCAAGATAATGATGCTCTACGTATTGAGGAAACTAAAAACATTTATTCACTTTCTTCGTCGCTTTCCTCCAAGTATAAATGATTCATGTTTCTCTGGAGTGGAGGGAGTCCATCATCAGAACTGGAGGATCCATCATTTGTGTCTTCGGGTTCAGAATGTTTGTCTGAAATGCAAAAGGAGCTAGTTGCCAATTGTTCTCAATTTGTAAGGTTGTCGATACAATGCTTGAATTGTGTTCTAGTAAATAAATGAAGTACCAAGAGCAATCTCGACAGTGCTAGATAAGATTACCTTTTCCTTTAGTAGGGACATCGGAGATTTGTGAAGTTTGCTGCGAGAGCCACTCGTTTTGGACTGTGATCATTTCATTGGCTTTTTTACATTCAGAGTATGCCTTGAGAAGTTCTCTGTATCCATTCATTTGTTAGCATCTAAATTTGCAAGTTCAGAAGATTGTTCACAGCAGTGCTTAATCAAGTAGTATTTTGGTTTTACCTGTTAAGAGACAAGAAAGCATGGCCCCATTTGAATTTGCTAAGCAACAGATTTCCTGTTTCTTTCTCTCCGCTGTTAAATGTAAAGAATGGTGTAAATGTAATCACATGAACTGCTGAGATGAGCTATTAAACTTAATAATTTCAGCATAAATTAATCAACAGAAGGTGACTGTTTGAACATGGTGTATGGCTAATTCTAGCTTGCAGACTACGCAATAATTTTAAACTTTTTCAAAGATAACAAGTCACATAATTTGATACAATAATTAAGATCAAATATAGATTATAATACGAAAGAGAGAATTAAAGCTGCAAAGATACCAAAGATTTGGAATATGCATATATGTATATATTTTTTTAAAAATTGGGTTTGAAGACGACTTAACATTGCATTTATGTTCTAAAATTGAAGCAAAGGTGAAATTATATAAGCTTTAAATTCAATACCATATGATCAATGCTGCAGCCAGTGCCTCCACACAAGATAGCTCACAGGGTCGACCGTAATTTACTGGATTTGCTGCTACCAACCAAGGCACTGTAATTCCACTTGAATCAATGAGTCTACTAAAATTATTGTTCAAAAACAGGAAAGACAATGCAAGAAAATTATGTGTATTCAATATTCTTAGAATATGAACACAGCAAAAAGTAATGAATATGTGATTGGAAAATAGATAGGTCCATCTAATTCTTGATACAAATCAAAGCAACAAACAATGTACATAAACTCAACAAGTTATAAAGACTGCAGCATGTTGCTAAAAGCCTAGAACTAAGAGTAATGTCATAATCATACAAAGACGAGGAGCCGTGCAGCGTAACTTCGTAAAAGGAACATCATCTAAACGTGCCCAAGAACAATCAACGACAGCTAACCCACTCCTCCTGATTAATTCACTATCCTCCTGAGAGACACATTGAGTGCCAGTGGGACTGCAAAATGGAAACAGTGCAACAAATAAACTCATTATATACTGACTGATTTTAATTGCATCTGTTAAAATTTGATTGCTATCATGTCTTTTAACACCAAGCATACGACCAATATGTTTGAATAGGGTTAAGTAATAAAAAGCAACATATATATTTAATACAAAAAGGTAAATATTTGACTGTGATTCAATGGTAGTTAAAGTGGAAGCATCAATTTCCATCATGTGCTGCTCAATTTTCATGCTTTCAGTTTCATATCTTTTCAGCATTGACAAGATAAACAAAAAATGTCTAGAGAACCATTAAACCAACGTTAAAGACAACAGTATTAGATGCAATGTCATTCTCACAGAGATTAAATTCAAAGATGTTTAAGAACTGAACATCTGTGAGGACAATTTTAGAACAAAATATAGATGAAAGCGCAATATTACAAAAAAAAAAAAAATTGTAGCAAAAGGCTCAGTTTGGTGACCTCAAAACAACTCCCCGAAATCCGCTACCAATCCGTAATTCCTACAAAAACATAAGAAACTGATTCAACTCCAATACAACTTTGCAGATGAAGCTAAGCAAAGAATGATTCAGTTTATACACTAAAGATCATGTTAGATTAGTGAATACTTACCTTTAATAACCCAAATCTTGCAAGCTTACGCCCTGTGCATCTCTTTGCATCACATTGGCTAAAATCCTGCTTCCACAAAACAATACATTCAGACAACCAAAAACAGCAAGCAACATAATAAATAAAAAAGGCATAATCACATGTCACTTGTTCAATGTATTAAACATCCGGATAGATAAATTTGAGACCCAGTGATAGCACAAACATCGAATTTTGTCTCAAGAGGCGCCATTATTGCAGTGCCATATCGAGGAGAAAAACGTTTTGCAGTCTCATGAGAAGGGTGCCAACACACCAAATGACTCCTTATCAATACCACCATGGCAATAAAGCAGCTATACACAATCTATTGGGAGAAAGAAAATTCATTGCATACGGTAAATAGGTAATCGCATACCCACATGGCGAGCTGAATAGAAGAACCCCTTTGTTCCTCCTCCTCCTCCTCCGCGGAAGCTGCGATAAAGCATTAACAGGTGTTGCCAAAATCGCTTTTTTCCCCTCAAAACAAACTACTTCGAACTATACCTAAACTACTACTCCATGTCATTTAATCGAACACCTCGAGTGCATGTCGGAAAGGGTCTGAACAAATACATGAAGCATTAATTAATTACCTTGATCAGCCAGCAATAAACCATCAGCTTCATCCCTGATCAATGTTGAACCAGTCACTTAAACCTCAAGGAATGGTAAAAAAAAAAAAAAAAAAAAAGAAGAAGAAGAAGAAAGAAACGGTGGCGAAACGGTGAAGTAGGATTGATTCGGGCATCGGAACGTGCCTGCCGAGTTGATCAGATTGGTCGGGCAAGTTGCGACGGTGATTATCCTTCTTGAATCGCCTCTGCTTCTGCCTGTTGTTTCCCATGGCGGTGAAGGCGAGATACCCTTCTCTCCGACGCTCGTACGTCCAGAACTCAGAACTCTCCTGTAACAATAAGTCCAATTGAACAAAAAAAGTTCCAGTTTGTTGGGCTACCTAAGATTATTTTCTAAAACATATATATATATATATATAAACAATAAAACTAAATGCATTTTAATCATATTTACAATTTATAATTTATTTATTTTAATCGTGATTCATAATTATTTTTATTATAAAATAATTATTTTTATCAATATAATTTTTAATTATTTAATAATTATATTTTATTTAAATTTTTTAGATATACTAATATAGATATTTTAAGCAAAAATAAATTATTTTTTATATTACAATAAATTAATTTTACACTTCCGCCTTTAAATGAATGTCATTTTATATCTTATAAAAAAATATTTTTTAATTTAAAATTTTAATATTCAAAATTTCAAAATCGAACTTCAAAATTTTCAATCATAGCAGTGTGTTCAAATAATGTTTTATTACAATAATAATAATAATAATATAATAATAATAATAATAATGTTCTTATTATTATGATATACAATATATATTTAGAACAATAAAAGTCAAATAAAATATATAAAAAAAATTATTTTATAATACTTTGAATCTTTTTATAATTCATCTAAAATTATAAATATTAAATAAACATAAAATATGTTTTTTTTCTTTTTTTTTAAGCATGGGAATTTTCGTCTAGTAAATAAACATAAAATATATTATTTTTTTATTTTAGGTATGAAAATCTGCCGTCATTATTAGTTGAATAATAAAATAATTTTTTTTAAAAAAATAATAAAATGATGTGCCGTAAGGATGGTATGATACTGTAGAGTGAACTCATGACCGTCTCTGATAATTTACTTAGAGTGCATTCGACGAATAGCAGCTGTAAGTCTTCGTAATTAAAAAAAAAAATGATAAAATGATTGACTTGTATTAAGGAAAAATATATTTTTATATAATGTAATTTTTTAATAATCTGTCAAGAATTATATGAAAAAAATATAATTGGACAAATAAATTTACAATCGAATAACACATTCTCTATTTTTTTATTTTCTTCTAATTTGTCAAAGGTTATTATAAAGATAAATCTTTCATATATTTTTTAAATTAATTATAAATAGATAAATATTTAATTATATATATATGAACTATGCTATATACATGTTTATTTAACTTTTTCATATTTTATATCTTTTACATCATTTATATTTTATACTTATTGATCAGGCACAAATTTTTTAAAAATGGATAAAAATAATTTTTTATAATAAAAATAAAAAAAAATAATATTTTATCACTAAATAAGCAAAAATATCTTTTTATAACAATAAAAAAAAAAGAAAGAAAAACTATGCATAAATTTAAATGACAAATTGAATATTGTATATATTTATATATGTCTTAAAAAATAATTTGTATAATTGTTCACATATTATTATTTTATAAAAATAAATAAATATTGATATTGTTAAAATTAGAATTATAAGGAAAAAATTATTTTTTTAACTAAAATTTTAACTTTAAAAAAAAATCACTAAAACAATTTAAAAGATTGTATCATCAATAATCTCAAGGGATAGTTTGTCTAATAACTATTCAATTATTACCCGTATGTGGTTCCGTACAGTACAATCAACAATTTGTTAAAGTCGTTGGACCTGATTTGTAGGGTATTAGGTTCGATCGGAAGTTTAACCAATGCACACTTTCGAATAGCGATTGCGGGTTCCCACGTCATAAAAAAATAAAAAATATAAAAATATAAAAAAAAAAAAAAAAAGAATTTATTAGTGGAAATTGCAATAGCAGAATGTTCTTGATCCATTTCGTCATCACCAAATAATCTTTATATATGGTTGTGTTTGTTTGGAGGTTTGGATTTTGAGTTGAGATTTGAATAGTAAAAATTTTGAATTAGAATAGTTGTACGATATAATATAAATAGGTATTGATGTGATCTTTTTGAATATAAATTTGATTTTTAGAATAATATAAAAAATAAAATAATAGGGGTTTGATTTTATATTTTTTGGAGAAATTTTTTTTGAATAAACAGTGAATTTTTTACAAAATCTCTCAAACAAATACACCCTATTTCCAGCAGAAAATGAAGGTAAATACAAAAATAACCGATGTATTCGATCAATAGGAGAAATAAATTCTACAAAATAACGAAGGGTGTTATGTTTGGGAGCTTTAATTTTAAATAGTAAAATTTTAATTTGAATAAGTAATATTTTGAATGTAAAATTATTTTTAATGTAATATAAAAAAATAAAAAATATATATTTGATTTAATATTTTTTATGGAAAAAATTATGAATAGTAGAAAACAAATCAATCCACCAAAACAAACACACCCTACAAACATGAACAATATTAGGTACAATCATTTCACCAATCTTATTGTCAACTTAACTTTGTTACTCTTGTTTTTCTCTCGCTTTTTTATTTTATTTTATTTTTGTTCCGGGATAGTGGAGCCTAGAGGAAAAATGAATTTTGGAGCTTCATTCATTTTTCGGTCGTTCCTCCCAACAACACCATGAACAATATACGAGTTCTTTAGCCTTTTTGCTCTAATGTCATTATCATATTCTTATGTAGATGTCGTATATTGTTTCAACGATAAGTACATGTCATAGTATGTAGTCAATTCACTATAAGAAAAAATAAAAATAAATTAAAACGCATCATAAGAAAATAAATTAAAAGTCACTTGATTTGTCATTTGTACATTAGAGACTTTCAAGGTCGTTTTTTCGGGAAGGTCAAAGGCATCAATTCTCTACTCTTCTAACTTAACCTCTCACGGATATATTCTTACTCCCTCGTTTCTTCTTCGTCTTCATCCTCAGTAGCATCCTTTTCAATTGAATTCAATGAATTGCTTTCTTTCTTAAGCTTCTTTCTCAGCCTTGGGATAATGTCATCTTTGTTTTTTTTTTTCCTCAATTCCACCCCGAGGGATGCGATCTCATCCATTGCATTCTACAGTAAATCAAATATACTTTATTTAACAAACTTTCATTAATAGATGATTATACTTCCTCACGTGACATATTGTCTTAACGAATTTTTCTTCAGTTCGACTTATGTAAAATTCCTCCATAACACTCGTCTTTAGTGATAGTAACCGCGATGTTGCCGAGATTAGTCCTCTGCTACCAAGCCATCTAAAGCAACGAGGCACAATAGGTAGACCATTTGCTTTGTCTAGGGTTGCACTTGTTAATCCAAACTTGAAATGTAAAAAATTAGGAATTTCAATAATCATACACAATCTTAAAATTTTTTCACCTTAATGCACAAATTAAATACCTACTAACAAACTTACGGTACATTCACTTAAATAGGTCTTTCAATCTTTAAAATCTCACATATATTTCAATAAGTAATGATGACATGCAATCTCTCAATCATCAAGTTATCAACATATTCTAACAAAAAAAATTGAAATGTAGGGTATGTTTCTTCAAGCTCGGTTTGGGCAAAATCACTGTGCAATTACTGTGCACAGTGATTTGGCCACCAAACCGGGGCACCTGCAAACTGCTGCAGTTATAACAAAAAAGACCTGCAGTGCAGCAGAAAAGCTGCACTTTATTTATTTATTTTTTAATTTAAAATATAAATATAATTCAAATATTTTATTTATTTAATATATATAATTATTATAAGTTAAAAATATATATACAATCTACATGTCATTTTGCAGAGAATAAAATTTTTTATAATACAAATAAATAAAAATTTAAATATATATGTCGGGTATAATATAAATTCATAATCAAATTATACAATATAAATTTTATCAATTAAATTTAATACACATTTATATTATTTTATTCATTATTCACAGTATCAATATAAATCAAAACTCTCCAAACCCCAACCAAACCCAAACACAGAAGAAACAACAAAATTCAAACTCATCCCTAAATTTAAATAAAAACCAAACCAAAACCCAAATTTCCTGAAACCTCCCTAAAGAAACACACCCGTAATAATTTGTAATTATAAAGAAAATATTGGCAAAAACAAACAAAGTATACAGTCTACCAAAGTTATCAATGGTCACAGTATCATTTTTTGTTGTTATAGTCTCTTTTTAAACTTTGCAAGAACATTGATTTTGCTGACGGACCTCTTCTTGCCTCCAAACAATTTTGAAAAGCTATCGTACATAGTACAATAACATTATTAGATGTCTTTGCGTGTAATCGAAGTACTATAGAGAATTTTTCGAGAAACAAAAACTTTATTCAATCCCTTCTCCTACGATCGAAATTCAGTGTTGAACATATTGATAACCGTTCACAAGTAATGCCAAGGTAACTTCACTTCCGGACAATCAAATAAATGCCCAAATAATGTGCGTTGTACAACTTTTAGTTGTTTTTCGTTCATTCCAATTTTCATAAAACAAAAAAAGAAAATTTATAAGAATATACTAATTATAGTTAAAACAAAGAAAATTTTCATAAATCAACAAAATAGATATATTGTCTTAATCAATTTGCCACACATGATTTATCTAATGTAATTTATCTTATCAAACTTAATTTGTTGGATATTTAATTCGATCAAGAACGCACTTGACGAGTAGCGTATGCAATTCTATCTTATAAAAGAAAAAAAAATAAAATAAAACAAACAAATAAAAACAAAATAGATACATCAACTAGCAGCAGCACACGTAAATATTAGCTAAAGCAACAAACTGCTACGAAATCGCTGACAGAAAATGTGGAAAGCGGGTTTCCGTTTTTAAGCTAGAAACGCGTTTTGGTTTTCATTTTAATTTTCCAGACAGTTTCCACCATCATCGTCCCTCTTGTTCGTAGAAACTGCAAGTTCTCACATAGGCTCTGCTGAATTTCGAAAGCCCCCACCAACGATGTTACGGAGGTAATTGCAGATTTGACGCGATTGGAGGCATATATACGTTTACAGTCTATTGGAAAACTTTACAGTTCTGTGCATCTTGTTGCATTAGGGTTTATTTCTATTAATTCTAGTTTTTTTTTTTTTTTTTTTTTTTTTTTTTTTTTTTTTTCGGGCAACAAAATCTGCAGGTCCGTTCTACAGCTCGCATCTCGTGGTTCATCCTATAGGATTCCGTTGCGTACAGCAACTCAGGCATGTTCATATGGAGTATTACGTATATATTAATATGTGTGCGCGCGGTGTTTTAGGAATGCATTGATTTTTCTGGTAATAATGTGCAGTGATTTGAAGATTTTGTATATGGTTTTACCTTCGTTATTGTTGGTGATGCGTTATGCTACATGTTTGGCAATTTGCAGAATATTGTATTTTTCTGATTGTCACTAGAATTTCAGAACCAAATATGTATGTTGTGTTCATTGACGAAATTGGAAAGGGCTGCCCAGCTTATTTTTTTATTTTTTAATCTTTGAAATCATATACAGTTCTGAAATGAGTTCTTGTTTTTAGTTAATCTCATGTGTACATTTTGTTGGATGAATGATTTGCATGTTCATCTGAGGGAAATTTTGATTGGATATGCAGATACCTTCATACCTTTCTTCCAGAAGGGCTTTCTCTGTTTCCCAGAAGACTGGGCCACACAAACCTGGTCTGGGAAACAATACCCCCGAACAACAGAGTTCATTCCCAAAAATTCTAACTGGAGGTCTTGCATTGGGTTCTGTATTCTTTGCCGCTTACTATTACGGGCTTCTTGACAGATACCTTGGCAACTTGCAACCAAGCATCAGTGAAACCAAACATCAGATTGAGGATAACAGAACACAGAAGTTGTCAGAACAGCAAAATCTAGACCATCAAACCAGTGAAACAATATCTGGCACAAAGGAGTCTGATATATCAATTATTGATGAAAATCTATCCAAAAAGGATGACACAAATTCAGGGTTGAGCATTCCTGAAAATTCAATCCAAGCAGATGTAGGCAAAAATTCTCAATCAAAGCATACAGAGGATTTGAAACCCGAAAATATTGAACAAAGAGATATCCCTCAAATCAACCCCTCATCAGAAAATGTTTTTTCTGTTGAAAGGAGAGAGATGCCTTGTGACTCTCAAAGTAATCAACCATCAGATGATATAAATAGAGACAAATCAGCTGAGGAAAATCTTGACATCAAGAATCCAGGTTTAAAGCCTGGCCTCAACCTGGCACAGGGAGAGCAAGCTGCTAAAGATGCACCAGAGGTAAAGAATGGTTTACCATTTATATAGCAGGTTATATATCCTAGCTCTATTTTTGTCTGTTGTTGATAAGCAACTATTTACATTTCATTTGATGTAAGGTTTTCTTGGTTGTTCAGGGAGATGGATCCCAAAAATCTAAATCCTTACTTGATGATTACCTTTTGAGAGAGAGTTTTGATGAATCTAGCACAACTGACTCCAAACTCAAGGTTCGGATATGGCGTTTTAGAATAAATTCAGTTGTTTTATTAGGAGATATTGTATTCTTTCCTGCCGAGAGAACTAGCTCCTTCATGTCTCATTCTATTTTCTGAAATTGAAGGATATAGGGTCCATGATAGAGTATCCTTATGATGGTTTCATAACCAAAGATGGGAAATTGGTTCTTGACTTCTTGCAAGCCATACATGCTGCTGAGGAAAGGCAAGCACAGTTGGATGCCCGATCATTCAGTGAAGAGAAGAGGACAATTAAGGTCATAATAACCTACTACTATTTTAACCTTTAATTTTTCTGTTGATAATAAAACAATCCAAACATCAGTAGCTCATTTAGTTGAATTTTATTTTGTATTGATTTGTTTCTGCAATCATACTCATTAATGAAACAACATTTTCTGCCATACATACAGCTGTATGCCATGTTTATTAGTTTTTGCTAACATAGTTAATAACTATTCAGGAGAAATATGAAAAGGAACTTAAGGATGCTAGGGTCAGGGAACTGATGTATGCTGAGAGAGAAGCCATTCTTGAAAAGGTGAAAAGAAACTTCTTGCCTTTTCATGTGATTCTTTTAGATTTTGCTCCATATTCCTGAAATTCATCTTCTCTCACTTTTTTCCCATCATGACTTGACTAGAAAGTGATTAATGCAACAGTGCAGGTTCCTCATCCTACATATGTATCTGTTTGTTCACTTTTATCTCCGTGGTTATGATGGAATGCATTTCTAAACTAAATAGACTTTCATATTATTATTTCTTTTGTTTTATATAAAATTGAATTACATGGAGTTATTTAAGATTTTAAGTAAGATGGAAAATTGTTTTCATGTTTATTACCTGCTCCCATAATATGCAATTTCACATCAATTTTTGATGTGTGAATTGCTATTATAGGACATGGATTGTTTTCAGAGCACCCTATGTTGTATCAGGTTAATAGTATCTTAACTTTGAGTTTGTAAATCAGGAACTGAGTAAAGAAAGAGTTAAAGCTGCTGTTGCTCTCAAATCTCTTCAAGAAAAATTAGAAGAGAAACTCAAAACAGAACTTGAACAGAAGGTACACTGGATGGGAAGTTAATCTTTTTCTTAAATTAGTCAAATAATGGTTTAGATTTACTAGCGAAAATTATTTAAGTTTCTTTATGCAGGAAAGGGAAGCAGAGCAGAAACAGACAGAACTTCAGGAGATAGCTAAAGCTGAATTATCTGCTGCTATTGCTCGTGAGAAGGCTTCCCAGATTGAGAGGATGGCTGAAGCAGATCTTCACGTATGACACCTTCCATTTTGACTAACTTGTAAAAGTGATCTATTTATATTATATATGAAATTGTCCTTTTTCGGTTGAAGTAAGAATCCTGCACCTGCAAGATTAAATAACAGAATTAGTCAAGATTAAATTAAAGTGACGAAGATAGGGTCCTACAATTATTTATTGCTTATAAAATAATATAATTCAGATGCTGTCTTAATTAACGTAAACTATTTGAGTTCCAATGCTACAATCTACTTTTGTGATTTTGTTGCCTGCTATTTAGCTATGAAATTAAAATTGTACTTCATTTTCGTCTCTCTCTTTTTTTCCCTCAGATAAATGCCTTGTGCATGGCATTTTTTGCCCGCTCGGAAGAAGCCCGCCAGAATAATTCTGTTCACAAGCTTGCCCTGGTAACCTCTTAACTTCAACTATTAATGAAATTACAACTCGTAGATGTGGATCTGAATGGTAGTTGTTTTTCTGTTTTTTTTGCCTCGCGTCTATGTTGATAAGTTTTGGTATATTTGTTTTACTTGCACTTTTTTCTCTTCAATATTTGAGATCATGTATAGCTTAAATTTACCTTGCTATTCGCTATCTAGATTTAGTGCTAAGTCCAATCAAACCTTTTTGTTTTTCTTTGATAACATCACTCTCATACGTCTCTCATAAATTGATATTACTTGAGATTCTCTAATCTTGATGCAATCTTCATTCTGCATTTAGTCACTATGTTTAAGGTGGGTCGTATTATCTTTCAAGAAAAAAGCTTAATAAGTCAATACCAAGGTTTTTCGTTTTCTTTTCTTTCTTTCTTTGTTTGGTAATCATGTGTTCGCTTCATTCCTAACACTAAACCTAGTGGAGGATTGTTTATTTAATAATTACAGATATAAGCTACCCCTTAGAAACTTGTAATCTAGAATAAAGATAAACTTGCTGAAAGATTATGTTGTGGTGGATTCATGAAGATTACAAGCTTTCTTAGTGGAACTGTTTTATGGAGTTGGCTATCAATTGTGCTAGGCAACGAAATCAAATTTCTTAATCTGCTGAGATGTAATATCTTCTTCCTGCTCCTTGAGCTTATCAAGTGATCCTGCTAAACCAATTCTGTTTTTGCAGGGAGCACTTTCATTGGAAGATGCATTATCTAAAGGCATGCCTATTCAAAAGGAAATTGAGGCCCTCCACACTCATATTGAAGGCATTGACAATGATTCACTGATAGCTCTGGTTCTCTCATCGCTTCCCGAAGACACCCAAAAATATGGAACAGATACTATGTCCAATCTGAACCACAAGGCAAGTGATGTTTATTTCTGTGTTGGTTCATGATCCTTCAAATGAATTTTTCAATCCCATTTTACCTTTATTCATTTTTCTTGTAAAGTTTACTCGATTAGCTTTGTGAATTTATATTTTCTGCATACATTTTTTCTTTCTATCTATTTACTTGTCGAGAGATCACCCACAATAAGTTAACTTTCCAAGTGGGGGATAGATAGAATGCAAAAATGAGTGGATCAAGCTGTGAACTGTTATACTAACTTGGCTATTAACATATGAAGTTGCTGCTTAAACTTTTTATTAGTATTTATCTGAAGCTGCTTATAGCTGGAAATAGATCTTTTGAATGAGTTGGAGATGTCTAGAGTGAATGCTAAAATGAAGATTGCAAGTTATCTTGTACACTCTGTTTAATAACCTTGAGAAACAGCATTGACTCAGTCAAAGCATAAAATGTTTAGACCCCTAATCTCTTCATAAGATGGAATATTACAATATCTGAAATTGTCAAGAACTAAAACAAACCAGCAGGTGTGAAGAACTTGTGCTATTTAAAGGTCTGTCTATTTGCTTGTTTGAGTGCACTAGTTTTGAAATTTAACCTTTCAAAAATATATAAATAAATAAAAGAACTGAAATTATCCTTCATTCCAACAGTTCGATGCATTGAAGGGGACTCTGAGGCACTTCAGTCTTATCCCACCCGGTGGGGGCGGGATATTGACACATTCTTTGGCCCACGTTGCCTCCTGGTTGAAGGTATGTCTTCTCTCCTCACCCCTCTAGATCAGAAAGTGAAGCATATATTTGCAATTTCAGAACTTTCTGTTACATTGTTTTTATTCATTCATTATTTCTAAGTCCAGGTACAGAAGGTAGACGAGTCTGGTGATGGTATTGAATCTTTGATACATCGAGTTGAGAATCTGCTAGCTCAGGGGAAACTATGTGAAGCTGCAGATATGCTTGAAAATGGAGTTAAAGGCAGCAAGGCAGCAGAAGTTGTTGATGACTGGGTTAGGCAAGCTAGAAACCGGGCCATTACAGAACAAGCTCTGACTGTTCTGCATTCCTATGCAACCTCTATAAGCCTCACATAAATCTAGCCCGGATGTCCCTATCGGGCTGAGTTTTGTCACAGCATTACTACTATGGAACTTCCTGCGCCCCTCTATCACACAGTTTTTTGGATTTCTCCGACTCTAGGTACCCTTCTCAACTCAACAGCTTATTTTCCTTGTTCCAATTCTGTTGTATTGTGCCGTGAATAAAAGTAAATATTGTTATGAGAGACTACCCCTATTTCTATGTCTGTCCGGCCATCTTATACCGGCAGGTGGTTTCGCTGCAATTGAGCTTGGTCTGAGGAATAGGTAAATTAGGTGTATTTGACAAGCAAATAAGGAAAGATGAAGATTGACTCCATGTTTTTGACGATGGTTACATTGTTCGACAGATCTCGAGGTATGTCAGGATTTATCATGTAAGTTTTATTTTTGAGAGTGACAGACAGTTGATGCATCAAAGAATTGGTTTGCATTTTCACAGCTGGTTTTCTGCTGTTCAGTCCCAATCATTCATTCCCTTCATATTCTCAACTCAATTTTTATACTATATTATGATTTTTAAAGTCATCGTTTTATTTAATGTTATTTGGTAGAATGTCTTAATTGTTAAATGTTTACTGGTAAGATTTTTGTTTTGGGTTTTGATTTTATTAAAAAAAAATTGATTTTAAATAGATGTTTTGAATGTAAAAATGAGTTTTTTTTAATTTTTTTTATGGCGTGGTAACATGCCGTCTCCATCTGAAAATGCTTAAATATATTTTGGAGAAAGAAAGTTGAGAATAGTAAAATCGGGTTAAAAAATTTACACACGTCTTTTTTTGGTTTTTGTGCTTTGAGAGAAATAAGGAAGCTTTTGACATAAATGCATTTTTACCAAAAACAAAAATAAAAATTATCTTAAAATTTTTAATTGGATTAATAGTTATCGAATAAGTGAATAATAAAAAATACACTAAAATACAAAAAAACACACTAGGGAAAAACATACCCATATGTATAAATGAATTTAATTGGATTATTCAACGTTAACACATGCTTGATATTATTTACTAGTATTTAATCATGTTATTCAACTGTATGTCGTGTTTTTTGTTTTTGTTTTTTTTAATGAATAAATGTTTTTTATACTTACATATGAAAAATTACGATAATAATATAAAAAATAATATTTTATGGTAAATTGCTAACATTGATTTAGAATGGATAAAATATATATTATATATATTATGTTAATGTCGTATTTTTTTAATACTGATATTTATGAGAATATTTTTACCAAAAAATTCCATGTGAACAAACCACAATAATTTAGACTTTATTTCTTTGTGGTCTGGATCTTATTATTTTTTATATATTTTTTTCTTTAAAATTATCATATTAATACTCTTTTATTTTTCGAACAATTGACTTCTTTTATACACAATATTTAAGGTAAAGATATTTAATTAATTAATACTTAATAGTAAGTTAGGAGATTATTTTATTATTTTTTATATAATTAATAATATTAATAATTTTAAAATAAATTTAATATATATGATTAAAAAAATTAGAATATGTATTTAATTATTTTAGAAATTATATCGCAATAAAATATATATGCAATACAAATACTGTTATGTATAAATAATTTTTTTCTATAATACAAGTAAATAAACAAAATACGTTTATTTATTTATAATTAATAGTATAAACTAATTTTATAAAAGACTTATTAGAGTTTAAATATAGATACAAATATTTATTTTTTTAAGATATAAAAATAAAAGAATTTTGGGTGGATCTTTTATAATCTATAATGATATATGTTATATAATTAATTATGTTGATTTATATTTGTTAATGAGAATAATTACTGTGCCGATTTGGACGATTTTTCACATGCATTATGTATACAAATAACACATATTAGTATTACACACAACATATGTATAATAAAGATATGTACTTCTTTTAATATATTATAAAAAAATATTAGAATATTATTATGCATCAAATTTTTATTTTTATCCCATCAAATATATTTTTAATTAAAATTTTACACCCCTATTTAAATTCAAAATTCAAACCTCAGCGTTAAATAAAGGGTAAACTGTTTTTTTTTTTTTCCAGTAACTGGACTCTTATCATTTTAATCCCGTAAATGAAGCCTGTCGCAAACTAGTCCCATAAGTGAAAAATTTTCGTTGTTTTAGTCCTCCGGCGCCGGAGACGCCCACGTGGCTCGCCGGAGGTGACGTGTCCGCCAGGTGTCCCGCCAGGTCAGCAACATCTGGCGGACACATGGATTTATTTATTTATTTTTAATCATTTTTTTTTAATTTTTTTAAAATCCTGATTAAAAAAAAATTAAAAAAAATTAAAAAATGAAAAAAAAAAAAAATCCACCTCCGGCGAGCCACGTGGGCATCTCTGGCGCCGGAGGACTAAAACAGCGAAAATTTTTCACTTATGGGATTAGTTTGCGACAGGCTCTATTTACGGACTAAAATGATAAGGGATCCGAGATTGAAAAAACAGTTTACCCTTAAATAAATGGACCATTAGTAACTTTTAATGTATAATAATTAGTAAATAAAGGCCTCTAAACTATTCGAAGTTAAAAACATATTATTATTGCATATGCTCTATGTTAACAACATAGATAATTCCGAAAATTAGAAATCTCTATTATTACATCATATTTTTTTAAAAGGAAAAAGGAGATGACTTCGAAAACAGAGTAGAAGGCTTCAATCAAACAATAAAATAAAAAATTATTGTTATTATTTGATAGAATTTTTAAAAATAAAAAATTAATATTAATATAATTTATTAAAAGAAAAATTATATTATTATAATTTTTGCAATTAAATACTAATATATAGGCTTTATTCCGTTATACTAATATTTTCTATTTTTTATTATATAAATACAAAATTTCAATAAAAGTATATAAATATTTTTTTATATAAAAAATTATATTAAATATGTATTTTCTCTAATATATATATATATATAATTAAATGATTAAAAATAATAGTAGTAATAAACACCCATTCAAGCGCGCACACATTTGTTCGATTCTTCTAATACTATTTTTTAATTGTTATTTTTTAAGAATAATAATAATAATACAATATTTAAAATATTTAATCTAAAATAATAACTAAATTTTATATTTTTAACATAATTTTTCATCCGATATTGAAATAAATCATTTCATTCCAAAAAAAAAAAACTCATTATTATTATCATTATTATTATTATTAATGTGAGGCTGCATATATAATTATATATATATATATATATTATATATTTGTGGTGATTTGACTTGGTACCTGCATATGGAGATATATATACAGACTGAGAGATGCTAGTTGTGACAATATTCTTGAGTAATTAATTAATTAATATAAATTAGGAGGCTTATTAGATGTACGTAGTTATGGTAAGAACACAAGAAGACATCCCTACAGCTTAATTTGCATTCAGCATTCAGATGACAGTATGCTATACTGTCTATATTCTCTACTAATTTGTTTTATTATTTATAAATATATTTCTTTATTTATTTGCCAGCCAAGATAGAGATTCAAAGGGAAACAAACTAAATAAATAAATAAATAAAAACTCATATGGCTTCAGCCTTCACCATTCAGCTTCGGCTTCAACTTCTTAATTATATATTATTAAATTCCACCCTAATTCTTTCTTTATAAAACTGAACAACCTCAATCCATTCCCATATATATATATATATATATATATATATATAAAAGATAGGATGGCTTACTTTCGTAAAATATAAATAAATAAATAATACTTTTGCTACATGTAGATGAAACGATAATTTATATATATATATAAGAAAAAACATACATAAAATATAAATAAATAAATAAATAATATGTTTGCTACAAATTTAAGTTTTTAGGTGAAATAGTGGTTTAATATCAACTAACATAATATTAGAGCCGATAAATTTTATGTTTGAGTTCCACCGTCCTCATTTATTGTCATCTACGTGCAAGAAAATGCAATAAATTAAAAAAAAAAAAAAAAAAAACACACACTATAAAAAAGATAAACTAAATTTTGAATGCTTTCATAATTATTTCTTGATCTTGTAATTTCGGTTCTTATAATATATTGGTTGGTCTTGATATGACTTGTTTAAGTAAATTTTGAGTTTGAGACATAATATATACAAAATCTAGCAGGTCTGTCTTCAACAATTTTTGATAGAGTTTATGACATGTTTGACTAAAGTCGAGATAGCTACTTAATTTTTTTTTTCTAGCCCCAGATTGTAAATCCCACTGAAAATATTGTTGGATCAGTAAATTTTACAATAGTTGCATCATTTCCGCCTTCTTTGAAAGATTGTTCCATCAACCCTTCCATCACCTATATCAAAAGAATAATAAGTTAAAAATATTTAAAAGTTGCATGCACAACATACTCACTTAGTATATCTAACTTGTAAGTATTTTCGTTTATTCGCTCAATCACTTGAAAAATTCCATCTTCTTATGGGGACAACTTGGACTTTCTTTTGCCGTAAAATCTCTTATTACAAAAATACAACCATACCCAATTTCTAAGTTGAAAACTCACTCTCTTGTAATGAAGGTTGACTTGATTTGTGAGTTGTGAACTACGTTGCTCTAATTGATTTTGTTATCTTTGTAGAATTGTTGAATCTTATATATTTATTTTCTAAAACCCATGTTAAATTTCTCATTGCTAAAAAATGACTCTAAATCAACTTAAGTAGGTGGATTAAGATCATAAAAAAACTTCAAAATGAGACATATTAGTAGTAGAATGTATAATCCATATGATAAACAAATTCTACATGAGACAAACAATTTTCGTTAATAGATAAGTTCATTTTTTATAATGCATCTAAATACAATGTCAAGTATGTGACTGGTCATTTCAGTTTGTCCATCAGTTTGTAAGTGGTATAATGTCAAGAATAAAAAGTACGTAACTTTCTTCAAAAGATTTTTCAAAAAGTAATTCAAAAACTTTGTATCCTTATCATTAACAATAGAACAAGACATCCAATGCAAATATATAATTTTTTAAAAAAATAGATTAGCAATGTGTATGACATTATTAGTTTTGATAGGTAATAAATTAGTCACATTTGAAAATCAATCTACTACCACCATCCTTACTCTCTTTGTTTAAGATAATCTTAAAATAAAATTCATATTATATATATTAAAGAATTTGAGTAGAGAGATGACCACATAGTTGTCAATCACGGATAGCGGTGCGTAATAGTCAATCTCTAAAATGCTATAGTGAAATAGCGCTATTTAAATATTTAAGGATATATATATATAAATTACTCCCTCCGTCCTAGGAAATATGGGTCTATTACTGTAGATACGAGAATTTAGGTAAAGTATAATTAGTAAGTAATTAAGAAGTGTATTAGTAAAAATAATTATTGTATAATAAAAATAATTATAGATTAAGATTAAGATAAGTAAATAGTTTAATTAAAATTAAAAATATTAAAAAATATAAAATTTAA